CAAACTGTTTTAATAACTGGTTTATTACATAAACATATAAACCTACTAAAAGTAAAAACGTAATCAAAAACGTTTATAGAAAATACATACAATTTGAGCCTCAAGATAGAAAACAAACAAAAAAACAACAGCGTTTATAAAATAAAACATAAAAACAAAACCTAATGCATCATGCATCAAAGCCAAAAATAAAACTGTTCAACCCTTTTTTTTTATAAAACGATTAGCAAAAATGATTGGTAAGAAAACCCTTCATCAATAATAAAAAGTAAAAAGAGAAAACTCAAAGGCATTTGTATGAAAAGAGCAGAGATCAATGGCTTGTAGGAAAGAYAACACTTACTGAGCATTTTTATAAAAAATAAAAACATAAGACAATCAAAGATCTCCTGGTTCACTTCCTTCATTACATTTTTTATTGGCTCCTAAAAATGTTTGCACTTGAAATTCTGGTAAACATTTAAAAAAATGAAACAAATAAAAATATATAATATCAGCCAAGTAAAATTGGACAACTTATCATTCTTTTCTGCATTTAAACCAATATGAAATTGGGCTACTTGTTCCTATGGTTGATCCATTAAATGAAACTTTTTTTATATTTTACAAAGATCTTAAGGTACTATTTTTTATAAAGGCACTACAATCTTAAAGGAAAGCAACAGAATAATCAAAGCTGCTCTGTCTTTAATAAGACTCAGTCCTTTCTTTTTGTTTCTTTATTTGCCAACTCCTAAAACTTTGTGTAATAAGTTTCAGCTGTTCATAATGCAGCATTCAGCCACAAGAACGAGCCTTCGTGCTGTTTAAGTTTCCAAGCTTCTGCCCACATTTTCTTTCAAATTAAAACCACGCTTCATCAACGTCTTGGCTGCCTTGTTTACCGTGTACGCAGCCGTTAAAAGGCTTCTTGTTAAAATGCCTTTACGTTTATAATGCGATAAAATGGATTTTAAAATCAGAAACAAATAAATATTTAACTTTTAATGGTATCTAATAAAAATATCAGGAAATAAG